TTAATGAAATTGACTTCCGGTTTTGAATGCGAATTTGTAGTAGAGTAGCTTGAACCACCGGTAAATGGGTCAACATTACCTGTCGAGTTATAATTTTGGTTACCACCACCAGGGACGTATCTTGATCCCCCCGTGAATGGATCCTGATACCCACTTGGAAAATAATATAAAGATTAAAATTTTTTTTCTTAGCACTATTTGCTTTTACTTACCTGGTAGTGGGTTGAGTCGACATATTAGAAGCACCACTCCAATTTTTTACTATGAAGTTAGCTACTTGATCTAAGTAAGCCTGTGGCAAATTGTTACGATGTATAAATGCTTGCGCTGATTGCCAAGGGTCCTCACCACGGTTGTAAGGCAATTTTATCGGCGGTTCTGTATCAGAGATGTCGACCGAAAACACATAGTCGTATTCCTGCCAAGCAATTATATTTCAAAATTGCATTTCAATTAGCTATATGAAAAGATACCAAAAAAACATACTTTGCCTTCATACAAGGTTTTTCCGGAAGTGGCTTGCGTGCCTCCTATTGCACCAGTAACATCACCAATCAAAGTCCATTCACCTAACCCCCAGGTATAACATTTCACTGAACCACCGGGTTGGCGCACCATTTTGGTTTGTCCTTCTCGCGTACCGTTCGTAAGTAAAGCTTCAGGACCTGGTAAACTAACAGAGTATGTTTAAAAAATTTAACTAATTTATTTATTAACCATAAAACAAAACCAAAATCTTACTGTCTTTTTAACGCCACCGATTTCGTCGCTCATTTGAGCTTTCCTTGTTTCAACGGCATGCAAAAATCCTTTCATAGTCAACTCGCTGGCATAACGTGCGGGATCTTTCGTAAATACACGAACTACTCCATCACTAGAACCAGTTACAATGTCGCCATTGTTAAGACAAGCTACTGACTAAACAGATTGTGCGGGATGTAAAATAGCATCGCCCAACTCTTGGCCATTTTGCAAGTCCCACATGCGCAGAGTGCTGTCTTCGCCACAGGATACTATTACATTTTTACCCAATGCGCGATTAGCAGCTAATGAGTAAATATAATTCGTATGACCACTCAACTCTTGCACGCATTCGCCGTCTTCATTCCAATACATTATAAGCGCATCATTACCGCAGGAAACCAGCGAATTATTATTTAAAGTCAAAATACCACGTACACAATCCGTGTGCCCTTTTAACATGCGTAACTTTTCACCCTTGGCATTCCAGTAGTATATGCATTTGTCCGCGGCTCCAGTGATATATTTTTTTACTTCTGCCAAGCAAGCGACTGACCAGACTGCCGCTTCGTGGCCACGCAATACCACTGAATTTACACCTCCATTTTGATCGATAGTCCAAATTCGGGCCGTACTATCCCAACTACCTGTGATAAGTGTTTGCGACTCAGCGCCTCCTGCTATTGAACATACGGTGGATTCGTGGCCTTTGAGCGTTAAGATTGGTACAAAACCGGCCTCTTTGTATATAGCGACTGTGGCATCATTACTACCAGTGCAAATCCACTTTTCGGCTTCAATGTAGCAAACACAAGCAACAAAATTTTGTTGGTCTTGAAAAGTCACAGATTCCGCATATGCTTCACTAAATTAAATGTCCGTAATCTTCACTGTGGGCATAGAAAAACTAATATATAATTGGCTCACCCCATGCGTTTCCATAATTTCACAGTTTTATCGCGAGAGCCTGAAATTATAACTTGCCCTTCCGTTGTGTCCTCACCGGCCGAAACAGAGCGTACATCCATAGAATGACCAAGCAATTCGCAACTTAGTTTGTATTCGTTGAGCGTTGTTGCCATTTTACTCGTGCATATATCAAATCTAGAGGTGGGTAACTCAACTCAGAGTTGAGTTATTGAGTTGATTCCTATAAGAGAATCGGTAACTCAGACTCCCTGTCCAAAAAAAATGTAACTCAGTAACTCAGTTGATGCCGTAGGGCTCACATGAATCAATTGAATCATAGTGGCTCATATTTGTCCATATAACTCTCTCGCTTCGCCACAGTGTTTAGCATGGCAAAGTCTTGCATTTTGTTTTTGCACGAGGCGAATTTATACAAGGTGGTGGCAAGAATACAACAACAACAACCACATGTATTTTGTATTGCGGGTGTTGCCGTCGGGGCGACTTTAATAAAAAAACACACAACTTTTTTAG